ATTTTAATTAGTTATTTTACTAATTGCTTTTTATTGCTCATAGTCAAAAATGATTTTTTTGGAAACTTTGATACTCTAATTTACCATTTTCGTAAAGAAAGTGTAAAAATGTTATTTTTTGTGGGAGAATTGGATGTCACAAAATTGCGTTTTTAGTGCTGGTGTAGTGACCTTATGGTTTGTTTACATTTCACAACTTGGACATAGCCTTAACATTCTTATAAAAGTTTAAATTTTAAGAGTTTTGCCGCGTGAATCTGACTCGGCGCGTCACATATTTTAATATGGAATTTTTAATTGTTTGCAATATTATATAAATAATGAATAAAAAATATAATAAATACAATAACGCAAAACAAAAAAATGAATTAAAATGTTTTGTTTAAAACTAAAATTAAAACCTATTAAAAAATTAAATTTTAAATTAATTTTAAAGTTTCAAAAAAAAATGTTTTAATAATTTTCAAAAAACTATTTAAAATATTTTTTTATATCTAAATTAATGTTTTTAAATAAAAATCACTTTGTTAATTACTTATATTCAGTAATATTACTCGTATTATTTTGAGGAAGGTGTAAATGCACGAGACTGTCGGTATTTGTGTGGCTACCCGAATGCAGGCCTGATGGTGAAAAAGATATTTAACAGGGGCATTTTTGAAATTTTGTAATTTTTTGTCCTATTTTTAACAAAAAAGATGTTCTTGATCAGTGCTATTCATTATTCAAAACTGATCCACAATTATTACGAGTTTAATTTATGAATTATTTTATTTTATATTATTTTTAATTAGGTTTACATTTCTTTGTTTAAAAGATTGAAGAAAGAAAAATTAAAAAGGGATAATGAAGGGAAGAAAAAATTTTTTTTTATTTCGACTATATTATTATTTACAGAATAAATTATGGTAATGCATTCAGAAGTTTTACAAAAATTATTGAAAATGATTTTTTTTGAAAATATAATGTTATTAATTATAATAATATATGCAATAGTGAAAACAACAGAGAGCTTTATAATTCTTTTTATATTTCTATTAAAATTTGTAACGTATATAATAATTTAGTGGAAAATTTATAAAAAAAAATTTTCGAAGCAGCTTTAATTACCTAAATTATTTTTTAAGAAAAATTTTTTCTACAAAGTTGCAAGCTGCTCAATTTTTGTTACTAAATTTGTTTATAAGTATTAAATTCCTTGCGAAGAATTAGTAATTTTTGTACAATTATACATATGTCAATTTAATAAAAGTTGCTTTTTTAGCTGTTTGAAAAAATTAATTTCAATTTGGTAAAAAATCATTTTTATACTGATTTTTTGTGAGTAATGTAATGTTTATAAAAAAAGTAATTAAAAACTTTTTGGAGCATTTTTAAAAACTTGACAATTGAAAAAAATCTATTTCTGTATGCAAATGAATTTTTTTAAAACCCATTCCTAAATTTTTAGAAAATATTTCTTATATTACAAAAAAGTTGGCAACTCAAAAATTTTGATTTTACTATTTTTTATGCATTTTCTTTATTTAAAAATTCATTTTTTTTCTTAAAAACTTAAAAATTATTTTTTTAATAAAAAAACATATTTTCTAAAAAATTACGGATGGGTTATGAAAAATTTCATTTTTATAAAAAAATAGTTTTTTTCGATTTTTAATTTCTCAAAAATGGTCCAAAAAACTTTTACCTAATTTTTTTATTACTATTTAATTTCTCGCAAAAAATTTGTATAAAAATGATTTTGTTCTAAATTTTAATTAATTCCTTTATATAGCTGAAACTGTCATTTCTGTCTTTTCTTTACGTAATATTTATAAGAATAATTTAAATTAAATTACTAGGAATTTAAGTAAAAAAATTGATTTGATTTCGTCGAAGAAATTGTTCATATAGAAAACAATCTTAGAAATTAATCGATGAACGATTTAGTACGCTAATTCTAGTATTATTAAAAGGAGAGTTTTTTAGACCGTTTTTATCTATATGAAGATATTAATTACAAATTCGGACAAAGTCATTTTTATGCCAATTGCTTGCATGGAAAAATAAATATAAGAAAAAATTTAAAATTTTTAAAATTCATCTGTAATTTGATTGAAAATGTGTATCTTTAATAAAAAGAAAAATTGCCAGTTTGAAAAATTTTAATGTTACGCAGGTATTTTAAAATTTTTTTTTCGGTTTAAAAATTAATTTTTTTAAGTACAAATATTTTTAACATTCATTTTAAAAATTAAAAAATTTTTTTTTTAATTTATAAAACATTTTAAAAATTTATAAATTATTATTTTATTTTTTTGGCTTATAATATTAATGTTAAAAATAGGCGTTTTTTTGAAAATAAAGAATGTTTAAATCGAAAAAATGCAGCGAACATATTATAATTCAAATTTTTAAGCAGTCAATTTTTTTCAATAAAAAAACATTTTTAAAATAATTGTAGAAAGAATTTGAAAACTTTCATTTTTACAAAAAGATACAGCTCTTTTTCGATTTATAATTTCAGTAAAATGGTAAAACAATATGTTTAATTAATTTTTTTGGAATTGTATTGAATTTTTTGTAAAAAATTATTATAAAAATAATTTTGTTCGAATTTTTAAATAATTCCTTTTTATATAGCTGAAAATGTCATTTCAGTCTTTCCTTAAAAAATTAATATACGATATTCTTATTAATAAAACATCTTAATTTTGATAGATGACAGTTGTACAAGTGAAAGTGAATTTTTCGTTTTATACACAATTATATACAAATTTTCAATTCCTCTGAATTTCGTTTCGAGGCTCGCAGTTTTCATAAATTTCAAATTGTACTTCAGGTCCCCTTTGCGTTTATTATGGGTGTTTACGAGATGTACGCCTCGAGGCGCCTCAGAGGCGCAAGTGGTTCTCATTCTTGTTGAAAAAGTTAGTTTGTTGTCATTGCTCCTGATTCGTTAAAAGACGCTGACTACTAACGTGAATGTGATCTTAGCTGCAGTTTTACAGTGAAAAAACTAGGAAGGTTGCGTTTTTAATATAGTGAATTGTGAATTGGCTGCGTTCAGACCAATTTGGAGCCCTCGCTCTTAAGAACCAGTTTTTTTTCAAGAGCGAGCCGAGGTTTCAAATAAAACAGTTGAAAAGAGTAACTGAATTTTTTATAATTTCAAAAATAATTGAAGTGATATTAACTAAAAAAACTTTGTACTTCTTTATTTCATAATATTGTAAAATTATGTAAAATATATGATTATTTTTTACTTAAATAATAAATATTAAAATAAGATTAATTAATTATTATCAGATAAAATTAAATTTTATTAAAGTTATATTTAATACATCGCTATTAAAAACTACACTGTAAAACTGTAAACAATAAAATTCTACACAAAAAAATGTAATTTGCTATGGTTTAATATAATTAATTATTCTACGCTAATAAATTCAAGAAAATTAAATTCTACATCGCAAAATTTTATACACAAGGAAATATAATTTTTATTGTATTTATTACATTATTAGCTCACGTCATTAAATTTATGTACCGAATAACTCTACACGCACAAATAAAAACCTAAAATTAAAATATATTTTTTATAGTAAAGAAGAAAAAATTCTACGCAATTATATTCTTCACGGCGGTTATAAATTAGTATTATCATATTCTACTCAACACATTTATTTAAAACAATTGAGCATTTCGTTAATAATGTAATAAAAATATAATAAAAATTATAATTTCCTGTGTGTAAAATTTTGCGAAGTTTCCACGTTCAGCATTAACTGTGTTGAAATTTTTGTTTGTTTTGTACAGTTTAATTGCATAGAATCGCTAGCCACCCCTATTATACGATTATAAAAAAATTACTTTTATTTACTTATAAACTATTATTTATTTTATATTATCGTGTAATATTACGGTAATATTTTCGAGTAATATTTTCATCAGACGGACATGTCCCTCGTTAGAAGAATTCATTATGGAAAAAATTTATTAAACTTAAGTCTATTATTTTCATGTCTCTTTCTGAAGAATTGTCTGAAAAAAGAATTTAAGAAATAGTGTATTATATTAATAAGAAACTACTCTCTAAACTAAATTAGTGATATTAGACTTAAAATGAGTGACTATTCTCACGATTTGAATCAGTGAAATTTCATTGAAATTCAGATAAAAACGATAGAAATTTTAGTCAGTTTTAATTGATTGGACATTTAAAAAATAAATGAAATTTTTAATATGCGTCACTGAAAACTTTAGTCTTTTTCTAATTGGCAAATCAGTGACAAATGACTAATTTTCAGTAATATTTCACTAATTCAAGTCGTGAGAATAGTTACTGAAAATCAGTCAAATAATATTATTTCTCAAAATAGGGATAAGAAGTAACTCTTGTAAGATATAGTGTTCGCTCTGCCTGGGATAATGTAGGCCAATAGTTTTTTTTGCATTTTATAAAATTATAATGAAGAATTCATATTTAATGTGATGGAAGTAGTTCAAATTATAAAATAAAAATTTATTTTAATAATGATAGGTATTGAAAGTAATTACATGTATTTCAACTAATACAAAAAGGCTAACAATTAATAATAATAATAGATAAACATTAAACATTGTCAAATAGGCTGTTGTACAGTGCTAGTACTTATAAATAAGAAAAATAAGTTTAATGTAAAAACTTCATGTAAAATGCTAAATAATAGAGGTGTGCAAAAAGCTCAAAGCTCGAGCGGGTATTTTCGAGCTTTTCATTTTTCGAACCTCGGCTCGGCTATTCGAGCTTTTCGCACACCTCTACTAAATAAATTAATTACTCTCTAAAACTGAATCAGTGAAATTTGACTGATTTTTAATGACTCTATATTCTCACGATGTAAATCAGTCAAATTTCACTGATTCAGTTTTCAATAGTAAAATATTAAATGGTAATATTGAATTTTAATATTGATAATAATGATTTTAATAATCAGTAATAAAAAATTAAGAATCACAAAGAAGTTTTCACAATAAATTGACGATAAGGAAACCAATCAATTAACAAGTACTAAAATATGACTTATTTTTTCTCCAACACGGACAAGAAACGTTCTAGGAACTTTTCCTTTTTTTCTTCCTTCTCCTTCATAAATTCCAGAACTTTTTCTACGTCCGATTGATGTTTCCTTTTACGTGGTTGCTTTATTTTTTCCTCAGCATCACTTGAAACATCAGTCGGACCATTGATCGATTCTTTTAGTCCTTTTTTAAATCCAGTTATGTTAGAGGAAGTAGCGACTGGATTCATCTCAGGCTTTTTATATAACAAATTATGCATGGCATCGTAATGTTCCCATTTCGTACTCCTCCCTTCCCCAGAAGTTTCTTTCTTTTTTTTTTGATTTTTGTACGTTTTCTTCAGGCTCTTAAATTTGTCAGTACAATCTTTAACAGAGCATTTAACACCAATCTCGTTTAACCGTTTCGTGACAATTTCCCACAAAGATTTAGGAATCTTTTTTTTATTGGCCGGATTTTCCCAAACTTCCTCATAAACGTTGAGTAAAAACTTAACTTTTTCGGTGGGCCATTTCTTTTCATTTTCCAAAGCTGAAAAAAATGTTTTTTTTACATTAAAATTTTTAAGTAGTATTTAAATTAATTCTGTAAAACTCAATCAGTGGAATTTTGCTGAAGATCAGATTTGAATAAATAAAATTTCACTAAAAATCAGTCAAATAAGATTGAAATATCAGTCATTTTTCACCGATTGACCAATTAAAAACAGACTGAAATTTTCAGTGACGCACATTGGAAATTTTAGTTATTTTTTAATTGTAAATCAGTAAAAAATGACTGATGTTTTATATATTTTTAACTGATTTTCAGTGAAATTTCACTGATTTAAATCGTCGGAATAAAATCAATGCGAATACTATCATAAATTAATTCAGTAACTCACTTCTGGCTACCTAAATCAGTCAAATTTTACTGATTTGCAATCTTTTTTATTGCAAATTAGTGAAATTTGACTGATCGAAATTGAAATTTGACAAAAGTAAATCACTAATTGGTATACAGTAAAAATTTCACTGATTAAATTTAAGAGAGTAAACATACCAATAAATTAATTAATAAAAAAAGTATTATAATATACATTAAAACGACAAGAAAATATAGGAAAATCAATATTTATCAAACTAACTGAAAACAACGTTAAATTTAGACATAAGATACTGAAATAAACATTTTTACTAAAAACTTTTTATATTACATATTATTATTAAATTATTTATTTGCATTTTATTTGTATTTAAATAATTGAATTCTAGTGGAATTTTCTAATAAAAATTGATTTTCATTTCAAAAAAATTAACTTCAGTTAAAATTTTAGATAATTACTGAATATTAAATGCAATAGAGCTTGAATTTTAAAAAGTAATTGAATTGTGTAATTAATTTTTTGGAAAAAGTTTAATTGAGTTGTTTTAATATTATTTTTATTTTCTATTTTCTAATATTTAGTTAATTAAAGAATTTACGAATAATTGAAATTTCGTAAAATTGAATATTTTAAAGAAATGAATTTGAAAATTGTCAAAGAACTTTTTCGAAAATTATAAAAGAAAATCGATATAAAGAAGAATTTTAGATAAAAATTCTTCAAAATAATAATTTTATTGATAATGATTTTAATTATTATAAATTATTTTTATTAATAATTATTATTAATTATTATAAAACATGAAGAAATCATTTTCATAATAATTTCTTATATTTTACAGTTATGAAAAATTGAATTTCTAGTTTTAAGTAAAATGTTCTCTCATTGGATTCAGTTTGATTCTGTAGGAACCCTGTAAATAGTAAATTCAATGTAACGATAATTTTAAAATAAATTTCTTGGATAATAAATTATACACTACTTTGTTACCTTCCACAGCATGTTCATCTCCGGAAACAATCTCTTCATCAGAATCCATGAGATCATTTATTGCTTCCATTGAACAATTGGTTTCACGATTTTCAACGGAATTTTGCACTTGATTTAACATGTCTTCTTTTGGCAATAAGCTCTGCAAGTAAACTTTCTTTACGAAAGCTTCTCCTATGGAACCTAAAATTTACGAAAATGAAACCATGCAATAAGTAGTTGCCGAAATAATAATATATTATTTTTTGAGGGTGTTATAAAAATAAATGAGATACACAACAAAAGTTTAAGTAGAAAAATTGGAAAAGTCCAAATGTGATGTCTGAGAAGAAAGAAATGTATAACTTACCATCCTTTTCATTTACAACTGAACATAAGATGCGACCATCCTTTTCAACCAACTGATCATTTTCATTTACTTTTATGCCCGTGATGCTTATCATTTTTGTTATTTCAGGTATTATAATAAAAACTACTAATTTCTTCTAAAACTTGTCTGGTGAAGCCGAAGTAGATTTTTAGAAAGCACAGAAGAATAACAGTGATAAAACTTTACCGACATATACACGACATGTATCATACGTCGATAACAAAGTTATTGCCTGTGTTAATTAATTATGTAGATTAAGTGTCAACAGTTCTCTAATGAAAAAAAATAATGAGAATAATAATGGATACCAATTTTGAGGTTAGTTTCAATTATATTTTCAATAATTTTTTTTTCTTACATTATTTATATTTACTAATAATTTATATTTAATAATAATAATAATAAATGAAAATTAATTGTAAAATAAATCAATAAAAAAGTTACTATTCAATTTAAAGGGTATAAAAGTTAAATCGACTCACATTTTTTAAGCAAGGGAAAAATAATTTATTAAAAAAATGTACAAAGCAGATTTTTTTATTTGTCTTTTTTATTATTTATTTATTTATTTAGTTATTATTTTTCTTTTTATTTATGGTAGTAAATAAATAATTGTTTTAATTGTATATTTTTATTTTAACGTTTCATACATTCCTGTATTTTACAAATATTATTTATTATTATTATTATTATTATTATTATTATTATTATTATTTACACTATTTGAATTTTTATTATTTTTACATCATTATATTTATTTTTCTTGTTAATGCTTTTATTATGGTTCTAAAATAAAAAATTTGAATTGTAATTGTTATAAATAATTATTTTTAATTCAATTTTTTTTTAATTTAATTTTTCATTAAATTATAGAACTTAATTATGTAAATAAATAAAATAATAATCAAATTTTTAATAATTCAAACAATTTTGTTAGCTTTCTGTAAGTGGGTATGGACACCAAAAGATGTTGAATTTACCCCAAGGCAACCAGAGACGAGGAAACAATTTAAATCGACTTCAAATTGCTTCAAGACTTGCTTTCATTAAAATAATTGTCAATTATTGTTCATATATTTTTTAATTAATATCAATTACTACTGTTTTGTATTATTTATTCGAGAACTATTTATTTAAAGAGAAAAAATTATTTTTCAAGATTTATAATTTTTTTTTAAATAAGCACAAGTTTTTTTTATAAACTTTCAATTATGTAACTTTTTCAAAATTTTGGAAATTGTACTAATTATACTTAAAATATTGTCTAATTTATCAAAGAAATAAAATAATTTATAATTCGTTTGCTTCTTGCATACATTCCTTAGGAATGCGTCATGTATATAGTTAATATATTAATATGTAATTTTTAGGATCTAAATATTTAAAAAAAAATGTATATTATAATTTTATATAATAATATATAATACACTATAATATGTAAACATTGTTTTATTTTTCCACATAAAATATTAAAACATTTCCGTCAGTTATTTGAGTAAAATTAGATTCTAATTAAAACTAATTGAACTTGAATCAAATCTTACGTTACTATTTCTGAAGCAAAAGTAAATCCTGCATATTAAGCTACCACTAGATTTTAATTTCCATTGATATTAATCTTTAAAATCTGAAAAAATTCAAATAAATTCAGATTCTATAAAACAGAAAATGTACAGATACAATACAATTATCAGCAAAACCTAAAAAAGTAATTACAATAATTTTTACGTAAAGCAAAAAATATTTGACGCTTTCTTAACAACAAATTCATCATTTTGTAAAAACTTATGTTTGATGAATTTAGATATTTTCAGACAAAATTTTGACGTTGAATGCACTCAGCCAAAAAAAATAGGAAAATTGCAAATTTTTAGAGACAGGAAATTTTTTTCTTCGTCAACTAAAGTTTTTCTAGTTTCCTTTCAAGGAGAAAAACATTTTTCAAAAGGTTTGAGGAGGGAGCAAACAAATCCAAAGATTTTCGGAATAAATTTCGACGTTTGGTGAATTTAGACAAAAAAAAAAAAATTACAAATTTTTAAAGACAGGAAATTTTTTTCTTCGTCAACTAAAGTTTTTCTAGTTTTCTTTTAAAAAGAAAAACATTTTTCAAAAGGTTTGAGGAGGGAACAAACAAATCGAAAGATTTTCAGAAATAATTTTGACAATCGATGAACTTAGACAAAAAAAATAGGAAAATTGCAAATTTTTAAAAACAGGAAATTTTTTTCTTCGTCAACTAATGTTTTTCTAGTTTCCTTTCAAGGAGAAAAACATTTTTCAAAAGGTATGAGGAGGGAGCAAACAAATCCAAAGATTTTCGGAAAAAATTTTGACATTCGATGAACTTATTCGTCAACACGAATTCAATGCATGCCTTGGTCATTTCTTACAAATGCGAATTCGTTTGCACAACTTCAGGAAAATTTAATCGGATTCAATCGAATATACAAAGAGCTTGAATGAATCCCGCTCTCTACCAAAAATCTTCATTCATTTCAATCCATTTGAATTCGTTATTTTTTTACTGGGTTGATCAATTATTATTAAGAAATTGTTGATCGACTTTGTTCCCTGTTAATCTTTTTTGGATTCTAATTTGTTACTTACTAGGAATAAAAAACTACAATTCGTGTTGGTTAAATATATTACCTGTCTTTTAAAAATTGAAATTTGGAAATTTTCAAATCTAAATTGAAAAAAAAAATTTTTAATTTAAACAATTAATATTGACAAATTGTTGGACGACTTTGCTCCCTGTTAAATATTTTTGTATTAGAATTTGTTGATCGCTAGGAGTAAGATAGTACAATTCGCGTGAGTTAAAAAAATTACCTGTCCTTTCAAAAATTAATTTGGAAATTTTCAAATCTTCAAACGAACGTAGTTGAACAATTATTATTAACAAATTGTTGGGCGACTTTGCTCCCTGTCAACAATTTTCGGATTGTAATTAATTACTCACAAGAAATAAGAAAATACAATATGCGTTAATTAAAAAAATTACCTGTCCTTTAAAAATTAAAATTTTGTAATTTTGCAAATCCTAAAACTTATGTAGTTGACCAATTATTATTGACAAATTGTAGGACGAGTTTGCTCCGTGTTAAATATTTTTGGATTGTAATCTGTTACTCGCTAGGAGTAGGAATGTACAATTTACGTAATTTAAAAACATTTCCTGTCTTTAAAAATTTTCAATTTTCCTTTTTTTTTGTCTAAGTTCTTAAAACGTGAATATTTTTTCAGAAAATCTTCGGAATGGAAAGGAAATTTTTTTATTGGCTCGGAATTAGTGGCGCTGGTTCGTCGAAATTAGTAGAAAATAGAGGAATAATTTTTAAGAGGGAGCAAAGTTGTTTTTAAAAAAATTACTAACAACAAGTACTTGAGTCTAAAATCTCTGGCTTGAAAAAACGAATTTCTTGTTTTTGGAAGACTAATTTTTTGGATAGAATGGAAAGGAAATTTTTTTATTGGCTCGGAATTAGTGGCGCTTGTTCGTCGAAATTAGTAGAAAATAGAGGAATAATTTTCAGAAGGAAGCAAAGTTGCTTTTAGAAAAATTACTAACAACAAGTACTTGAGTCTAAAATCTCTGGCTTGAAAAAACGAATTTCTTTTTTTTGGAAGACTAATTTTTTGGATAGAATGGAAAGGAAATTTTTTTATTGTCCCGGAATTAATGGCTTTGGTTCGTCGAAATTAGTAGAAAGAAGAGGAATAATTTTCAGAAGGGAGCAAAGTTGCTTTTAGAAAAATTACTAACAACAAGTACTTGAGTCTAAAATCTCTGGCTTGAAAAAACGAATTTCGTGTTTTTGGAAGACTAATTTTTTGGATAGAATGAAAAGGAAATTTTTTTATTGGCTCGGAATTAGTGGCGCTGGATTGTCGAAATTATTAGAAAGAAGAGGAATAATTTTCAGAAGGGAGCAAAGTTGCTTTTAGAAAAATTACTAACAACAAGTACTTGAGTCTAAAATCTCTGGCTTGAAAAAACGAATTTCTTTTTTTTGGAAGACTAATTTTTTGGATAGAATGGAAAGGAAATTTTTTTATTGTCCCGGAATTAATGGCTTTGGTTCGTCGAAATTAGTAGAAAGAAGAGGAATAATTTTCAGAAGGGAGCAAAGTTGCTTTTAGAAAAATTACTAACAACAAGTACTTGAGTCTAAAATCTCTGGCTTGAAAAAACGAATTTCGTGTTTTTGGAAGACTAATTTTTTGGATAGAATGAAAAGGAAATTTTTTTATTGGCTCGGAATTAGTGGCGCTGGATTGTCGAAATTAGTAGAAAGAAGAGGAATAATTTTCAGAAGGGAGCAAAGTTGCTTTTAGAAAAATTACTAACAACAAGTACTTGAGTCTAAAATCTCTGGCTTGAAAAAACGAATTTCGTGTTTTTGGAAGACTAATTTTTTGGATAGAATGGAAAGGAAATTTTTTTATTGGCTCGGAATTAGTGGCGCTGGTTCGTCGAAATTAGTAGAAAATAGAGGAATAATTTTCAGAAGGGAGCAAAGTTGCTTTTAGAAAAATTACTAACAACAAGTACTTGAGCCTAAAATCTCTGGCTTGAAAAAACGAATTTCTTGTTTTAGGAAGACTAATTTTTTGGACAGAATGGAAAGGAAATTTTTTTATTGTCCCGGAATTAGTGGCGCTGGTTCGTCGAAATTAGTAGAAAATAGAGGAATAATTTTCAGAAGGGAGCAAAGTTGCTTTTAGAAAAATTACTAACAACAAGTACTTGAGTCTAAAATCTCTGGCTTAAAAAAACGAATTTCGTGTTTTTGGAAGACTAATTTTTTGGATAGAATGGAAAGGAAATTTTTTTATTGGCTCGGAATTAGTGGCGCTGGTTCGTCGAAATTAGTAGAAAATAGAGGAATAATTTTCAGAAGGGAGCAAAGTTGCTTTTAGAA